TCACGAGGAGGACAGGAAGAGGTCGACCAGGTGGAAGAAACGAGCCCGGTACTTGACGTGGAAGATGGAGGGCTCCAGGAGGCCATAGAGCTTCCGGTAGAAGTCGGGGTATTCCCTGGGGACGGCACACACACGGGACGTGTGTCCAGCTTGGCCCAGCTCTGGCCCCTCCTCCCCCCCCCCCCCCCCGCAGGCCTGGCGGGAGCCGGGAGGGGGGCTGAGGCACCGACACTCACAGGTTGTGCTCGTGAATCAGGATGAAAAGCCCGTTCAAGGCCAAGAGGCTGACGGCACCCCCTGCAGACACACACAGACACAGACGTGGAGCCCGGACGGACCTGCACCCCGGCCCCTGCAACGCCCAGGCCTCCCAGCTTCCCGCCCTGCACCGCGCCCACCCGCCAGCCCAGCCGGAAGCCCGGCTCACCGACATCGTAGGCGCTGGTGAGGAAGTCGATCATGAGGGTGGGCTGGGCCAGGTGGGGCAGGATGGAGTCGTGCAAGATCACCAGCACCTTCTTGTACAGGCCGAGGGGCAGCTGGGCGGCCGCAGGCAGGTCAGGGTGCTGCCCAGCCGTGCCCCGCCCCTGCCAGGACCCAGGGCACCCGCCGCCACCCTCACCAGAACCTGGGCCCCCGGAGTCCCCACCTTGTGCTTGAGGAAGCCGAGCCACATGGCCTGGAACGCCTTCCTGTGCTCCTGCAATGGGGGCGGGGCTACACATGCTGGTCCGCCAAAGGAGACCCAGCGCTGGCGGCTCCCTGGCGCCCACCCTGTCCTGCCCTCTGCCGGCCACAGGAACCCCAGACCGGGTCTAGGAGCTCCAGCTCTTGAAGCCACCACGTGGAACCCCCCTGCGCACTGCACGATGCGGCATCTGCCTCCGTCCCCGAGGCCCACGGAGCCGGCCTAACTAGGGGCCTGCCTCCTCACGCCTACTCGTCGTGGCCCTGGTGGACGCACACGGTGACACCTCTGTGCTGGGAGCTGGGGGTGGGGGAGGGGTGTCCCGGGGACACTCACCTTCAGATGAACCACTTTCCACTTGTCTGACGGCTCTGCTAGGAAGGCAGGAGAGCGGTCACCCCAGCACAGCACGGAGGCAGTGGCTCGCTGGCTGGCCAGGCCAGGCCAGGCCCTGTTCTGCAGCACACCCCCCCACCCCGGGCCTTCCCAGGATGCTCACCCGCGCGCTTCACGTAGAAGCTGCACACGTCAGGCTCCCGAGGGGGCAGGCTCACAGCCGCCAGCAGCGAGAAGGCATTGTTCCAGAACGTGGGGGACACCTGCCGGAGCCCAGCTTGAGCACCGTGCTGTGGCCCACCCGCCTCCCGGGTCACCACGCGCGGACATCGCTCACCTCCAGGTGCTGGTCGGTCACGCGGGCCACCGTGTCGGTGGCGGCCTGCATCGCGTGGTACCGGATGTCGTCGTGCTCCAGATACTCTCGGAAGCGGGAGAGCAGCAGGCTGCCGTCGTCCTCGGGCGAAAGCAGGCCTCTCACCACCGACTGGGGGCGGGGCAGGGGTCAGCGTCCCTCCTGTGGGCAGAGCCCAGCAGCCCCCCACAGCCCTCTCCCCCAGCTAGTGGACAGCCAAGGTGACGCCCACGTGGCCATCGCCCCCTGCACACGGAAGAACAGAGGCAGCCTCCCGTGAACGCCGACCTGCTGGGCGAGCAGGCCCCCTGCTCCCGCAGCCGGTCCCTCACCTTGAAGAGCTCCCGGGGGAACAGGTAGTTGTCCTCCCACTTGGGCTTCTCCAGGGGGTGCGTTCCTTCCAGCTGCACAAACTTCATGAGCGTCTCGAGGGCCAGCTCCTGGGGAACAGGGACAGAGCGACGGTGGCACTCTCTGCAGGCGGCCTGGGGCTCGCCCCAGCCACAGGGCCCTCACGACCGGCCCCAGTGGGCACGGAGAGAAGAGTGGCCCGCCTTCTCTTGCTCCATGCCCCAGCCTGATGGTCACGCAGCAATGCAGGGACTCGGCGGCACTGGAGCGCGGCCGGGGTCTGGCCTCCTGCACCGGGGGCCCCTAGAATGCTCTTGCGTCATCTCTATGGATGGAGCCAGTGCCACTGCCAGTGCGACGAGCCAGCGTGGCTCACAGCAGTCCCACTCACAGGCCACGTCCAGAGCAAGCGAACCCAGACCCGAGCAGAGTGCGTGGGAGCTGACTACTGGTGGGCACAAAGTTTCTAAGTGCATGATGGCACCGCCCTTAAGAGTGGTGATGGCTACGTGGTTCTGCTGATACAGGAAACAAATAAAAAAACCGGCCACGCTGTATGTTTCACTCCTGAAGCCTTTACCTGTCTGGAGGAGAAACAGAGACAGAGTGGATGCCCCACCTGCTGGCTCACTCCGCAAATGCCTGTGACAACCAGGGTTGGGCCAGGAGCCTCGAACCCCGTCTGGGTCTCCCGAGGGCGGCAGCTGAGCGGCCACTGCTGCTGTCCAGGCTGCACACGAGCAGGGAGCTGGGACGTGGGACGTGGTATCCCGAGCACCCCACACCCACCCAGCTGCGCTTCCAGGCTGGAGCGACGGCAGCCGAGCCTCACGCGGAAGCGTCGGGTTCAGCTCCCAGCAGGCTCCTGACACCACCTGGGAGACCTGGACTGAGCTGGCTCTGGGTCCGGCCCCAGCGGAAGCCACTGTGGGCGTCGGGAGTGGACTAGCAGATGGAAGGCCCCTGCGCACACCTGCACTCTCTCTCCCTCTTCCTCTATCTTTCAGACGATTGATTTAAAACAACAAAAAAATATTTAAAAAAAACAAATTATAAGTCACAGGAATTACATCACTTCAATGCTGTTAGAAGTTGGTGACTCGGGGCCGGCGCTGTGGCGCAGCAGATAAAGCCGCTGCCTGCAGTGCTGGCATCCCGCATGGTTCCGATCCAGCTCTCTGCTGCGTCCTGGGAAAGCAGTGGAAGATGGCCCAAGTCCTTGGACCCCTGCACCCACGTGGGAGACCCAGAGGAAGCTCCTGGCTCCTGGCTTCAGATCAGCGCAGCTCTGGCCATTGTGGCCATCTGGGGAGTGAACCAGTGGATGGAAGACCTCTCTCTCTCTCTCTGCTTCTCCTTCTCTCTCTGTGTAACTCTTTCAAATAAATAAATCATAAAAAGAAGTTGGTGAGCCACGCCCATAGCTGCAGGCCACCATGTGGACTGAGACCCACGCATCTGCAGGCACAGGCTCAGTGCACGGGTCCCTGACGCCCCGAGAGACCAGCGCTCTGCCTCTCTGCACCCACTGCAGACGGGATGATGATCGCATTTCCCCACGAGGCCTGAAGGCCCACAGGACAGACGGAGGCCACGCACCAGGAAAGCAGCCGGAGGAGGGAAGCGCTGGTGCCTACACAGCGTCCACCTCCACAGCCCTGGGCCTCCGCTTCCGGGGCGCAGGGGGTGGACGCAGCCGAAGCAGGGCCCGCTTTGCCAAGCCTCACCTTGACCTGAAAGGAAGGGTGAGCCAGGAGCTCCGCCAGGCGGTTGCAGCAGCTGTGGTAGCGGTGCCTCATCCACACCTTGTACTTGCGAGTGGCTCCCTGGGACCCTGCGTGGGTGCGGGAGGTTCGGAGGGCTGTGGCACACACTAGGTCTTGAGCCCACCTCTCCCTCCCACGCCTGCCCCCCCCCCCCCCAGCCTCCTGGAAAGAGGCCGCCATGGCCCCCAGACCTGGCCTGGGACTGTCACTCCCGGGGGTGTGCAAACAGCGAGGCAGCTCTGCCCAAAACCAGCCAGGCGAGCCAAGCCCTGGGCCCGCCCTGCACGGAAACGCACAGCTCTGACTCCGGCACCGGCACCGGCCCGCAGTCCGAACCCCGCTGAGCGCGTGTGTAAAGCCGGCTGCAGAGGAGTCCCTCCCACCGGCCGCGGCGGCTGGCTCAGGATTCGAGGGCGCCCATCTCCCTCCAGCCCGCCTGGAAGGCGCTCACCTGCCAGGACCACCTCCTCCGGGGGCAGCTGGCCCACGAACAGCTCTCCCCGCTCCAGCAAGGCCCCGAACAGGCGGCTGCACGCGCGGACTGCTTCCTGTACCTCCTCGCTGTCCTGGGCCTGCGCGAGAGGCCGTGTGGCGCGCCAGCTCCCCTCCCCGCGGGGACCCCAGCCCGGGCGCATCCACCCGTGACCCCACACGTCTCGGCGGCGTCTGAGCCTCTGCGGGGACCCCCCCCC